AATGATGATGAACTCCTGCGCGCATAACGTGTAATTCTGGAGCACGCAGACAGGCTAACGACTAAGCTGCAGTGCACATTTCATTTCGTTGCCTAATAAATGATTAAGAAATGTGACCTATATATAAAAGCCAAAAACAGTACACGATAAACGAAGGTAACGCTAGACGCACTATTTCGAGCCAAAACGTTCGCCCAGTAAAGATATCCAGTAAACGACAGTAGCCCGCTTGCCACACACACGTCCGAACATGAGACGAGGATTAGGTTAGGTTTTTCGCTGCACTTCTGAAATTACTGTACTTTTCTCACCGCGTCTGTCAGATAACACGCACCGCATATACTTTAGGCATACATTTTACGTACTCCTAGCAGTATAAGTGCATTTAAGCCTTTTGACATATGTTTGTCTTCCGGTGAGTATATAGAAAATATTTGTATTGATGGAATTCGCATTGTTCGAACGGCAATATTAGAAGTCGCACCTTCACTGGTGTATATTATGATACACTAGCCATCGCAAAAACTTAAGGTCCTGCATCAGAAACTCTAACCACAGATAATGCGTACTTTGTACCTAACAGTTGTCTGAAAGTCTATAGCACTATCGCGTTAAAAATTATGCAGAAAATATTGCTTGTCAGAGAACATGATAATGTAAGCTGCGGTGGGTATACCTTGTGCTTGGCGATACGAGCTTTGGGGGTTTGATGTAAGCTGGTGGATGCAAACTACAACTGCAAAAAAAAATTGTGCCAAAGAGCGAGAGAAGAAACGTGCCGAAGTATTCAACCCCTCAAGTCACTTATCACACCACAAGACGACACCATCAAATGACATCGTTGATCAGTCTTTGATCAGTCTGACTTGCGCTCGTTCCCGGAGGCTTTGCAAACACCTAGTGACGTTTGGTAAGCTTTACTGGAGTGCACGCATCACCCACGCTTCACTCAACTCCTCCGCAGCAAGATAAAGCGTAGACAACACTCAAGCTGTCACTGCACAGTTCTCTCTGAGCTTCTACCTGTGTTATGTGATCATATACAAGGAGCAAACGTCAAGATATATAGTTTGAGTAAGGAGCAGCGAGTTACGCTGGTGTACGTCAAGCTTGTCTGGTCTGCGCACTAATCTTCTAGCCACGTCCACAACGTACCCACTTGTCTGGCTCACGAGGCAAACGTTGTCGAGATGCTTCGCAGCTGCCAGTCCTCTGTTCCTTATTTCGTCCAGAAACTCCTTTGAGAGCCATTCGCGCAATGGCGTCTCATCCGCCTTTAGCCATATAATCGCGATGCGAACCATTACGCATTATATATTATTGTCAAGACACTTCAAAAATGCTGTTCTTCATCTATCTATCTATCTATCTATCTATCTATCTATCTATCTATCTATCTATCTATCTATCTATCTATCTATCTATCTATCTATCTATCTATCCATCTATCTATCTATCTATCTATCTATCTATCTCTGTCTGTCTGTCTGTCTGTCTGTCTGTCTGTCTGTCTGTGTTCTGTTTGTTGTTTGTTTATTTCAGGACGCGGTAGCATGTGTCGTCATAAATAAGAATAGATTGTTTTTTTAGTGAAAATGGCCTTTTCTACCTAAATTATTCTGGCTCATGTGCGCGTCCCTCACATGTAATAAGATGATTGTAAATCACAGACTCGTTTGAGTATTTTAATGAGGTCCGGAGAGCGCGGATGTCTACGCTGTTGTGGTATATATATAACAAAATGAACATTACGAGTGTTAGTGACTTTTACCGGTCTGCAGGTAAAGTGGATCCTCGGCATACTTGTGGACGTTGAAGAAAATGAACAGCTGATTACAAGTACAATTACTTCGTTTGAATTGTAACTAATAGCCTTTATAGATTACAGCTTCAAAAGTAACCACGCAAGTATAGAAATGTGATTAATTACTTTCGAGTTATGACTTCACAATTTCATTTCCGTAATCCACTAACACACATTCATCCAAACTACCATAAATTACTGCGGCTTGCATGGAAGAGAGAAGGCTGAATATTTGAGTAAAAGGCTGGGAGGCTTACTCTGGCTTCTAATATATAGTGTTATACGCTGTTAGCTTTCAGAGTGAGTTGTTTTTCAATGTCGCTGTTGCCGATTCTTTCTCGTCGCCTCACCCCACCGCGGTGGTGGTACTCGGCTGCTGACCCGCAGGTAGCGGGAACTAATCCTGGCGGCGGCATTTTCGATGGAGGCGAAAATACTGTAGGTCCACGTGCTCGGATTGCGGGGCATGACAAGGAACCCCAGGGGGTCGAAATTTCCGGAGCCCTCCACTATGGTGCCTCATAATCATCAGGTGGTTTTGCGACGTTAAAGCCCACATATCAATCAAATCAATTTCTCGTCGCCTCTTTAGGAGGTGAGATGCTACTCTTAGTTCTGTCTTTGCGCATGCGCGGGAGGGAAGGTCGGTACTAGGACGTAAGAACACCTTGCGCTCCAGCTCAAGAACTGGCACCTGCGGAAGGCATTTACTAACTGCTGTAACCCATTGAACGACGCGACCCAAGCTCTCAAGTGCGCATGTGCACAATCTTATCCCCCTTCCCTCTCCCCCTTACTTTCCTATATATATTCACGAGTGTGAATAAAACTGGCTGTTCTTTTCTGTTGGCATGGTCCGACTGTCACGTTTACTGCTGGAGCGGCGTGGCCGCCTCCCAACAAACAGTGGCGACGAGAATACCCACCGATACGTGTAAGCCGGGCGCCAGCGGCGAGACCAAGACGAAGACGCCCATCAGCCCGCCCGCAGCCATGGCCCTCAAGCTTCCGGATTTTGCAGAGGAGACAGATAAGTGGCAAGCGTATCTCGTTAAGATTGACGCCTACTTCGAAGCGAACGAAGTTACGGACGACGCGAAGAAAGGGCCTTGTTGGTGGCTGCGTTAGGATCGAGGACCGTTGAAATCCTTTGCGCAGAATCGCACCGCGAAAACCAAGCTCGCTGAGTTACGAAGAAGTTGTTTTCAACCTTGAACGAGCACTATGATCCGTCTCCCTAACGAGATATCAGAAAGCTTCAAGTTCTTTCACCGAAACCAACAAGAAGGGGAGTCCGTGCAGGCGTTTATCGTCGAGATTCGCAAGCTAGCGCATAACTGCAACTTCTCTTC